GCACTAGAACAAAGGAATAAAGAGAGAAACAGAGCCCTGACATCATCATTTGAGCACTGAATCCATATCTATCATCTGAGATGCTCAGTGTCCCTCAGCTGCACTACAGATGAAGCCCCCACTCCTTATGAGCCAGCATCTGGGTGCTCCCCTTCGGATGAGAAAGCAATAAGGTCAGTCCTTTCCTTACCCAGTACAAACCCTCACTTACAGGAGGGACCAGTCATGGATGATAAGGCAGTCTCTTTGTCAGGAATGAATAATTTTTAGGTTTGGAGAAGAAAACAAAGCCCAGCTTCTCACTATGCCAGAAGACCAAAGACCTGTGTTTCATCATGCTAGGATACTCGGACTCTCTTCCCAGGGCATAGTAGCGTCCAAATTTTATTTTGCAACTACTGTCGGGAAAGAGGTGACAGTAGAAATGAGTTGTATCCTCACTACCCCCTAGATCTCATGTGTCTGTGATGTGTCAGACGGCAATGTGAAGCAGCCCACAAGGAATCTCAGAGTTGTGAGCTTTTAGAATTGAGAGAAATCTTGGAGTAACAGAATCCAATGTTTTTGCAGTGAGGCGAATTAAGAATAATAATTCTTATGTTAACTAACTCTATTGAGTATTGACAATAGTTGTATGAGCCCAACAACCTTATGTGGTAGATATTCTTTTCATCACTATTTTACAGAGAGACTGTAGTGCAGAAAAGATAACGTCCTGCACAAGACCACACAAATCCTAGCTGGAGCTGGGATTTAAAGCCAGGCAGTCTACCTCCCAGTCCACACTAGTTTTTATCCTCCTAATCTCACCCATTGCAACTCACCATCCTCCCATGAACACTGACCCTGAGAAGTCCCATCATTTTGAATGTAATAATCACACTTTTTCCACCTCTGCCACTTACTATGTGGCACTGAAAAATTTAATCGACATCTCCATTTCATTCAACTAACTCATAGGCTTCTGGAGAGCACTAACTCAGGACATATAGAACTTGAGACACATTGACATAGAAATATCAAGTCTTTTGGTAATTTCAAGGACACGGAAAAGTTACAGCTTAGATAAAGTAGAGAGATATCAGAGACTTCAAGGGTGGTTCCCTGGTCCTTCTTTCCCACAATAGCTGTGGACTCTCTTCCCCTAAATTACAGCTGAGGCTTCTGATGAAGCTGTCGGTCACCTCAAACAACAAAGAGAGCATTTCAGTTATGAAACATATCCATTTTATACCCTCCAAACCATAAACCTATAGATTACAGGTTCGTTACATGTAATAATCTAGCCAGGAATATCAAACTAAGGGCATCCTGTGGATAAGGTCTCTTCCATGTAGCAAAAATCATTGTCTATCAGAGGTCCAATGAGGAAAGATATTAGATTGTAACCTGTTTTCTTTCCTCTTCCCACCTGATTGAGGGGGATCCTCCACAAGGGGAGTTAATTGGTTGCAGAACAGCTATTTTAACTCTCCTCCCCAGACGCATTAAAAAAATATTAAGTGACTACACTGCACCCTTTAGTTTGGTCTATGTTTTACACACAACTTTATAGCATAGCTCATAATTATCAATGTCTCACCTTCTGGTATAATTTCAAGACTATGTTGTTCTTAAATTGTTTGGCTTTCAACATATTGGCTTCATTAATTCAAACTCAAATAATTCACTTAGTCATAGTTGCCATTTTAGCTATCTACAAATATTGGAATACTGTTATTTTAACTTTTCTAGTAGCTTCAAGTATAACATAAAGACATAGATAAAGCAACTTTAAAAATACATCTAGATAAATGGATATAGACCCTTTAGGATAAGTTGCATTCCACTAACTTGTTCCCTATTGTAATACATTGTAAGTATTTCCTTCCTTAATTTTGCTCGTTTTTCTTAAACTGTAAGCATCAAACGTTTGTGTTTTGTTTACCTATATACCTATATATCCAGAATGTAGCATAGTTACCAGCATAAATATGAGTGAACATGCTCTCCAGTACCATTTATTGAAAAAGTCAATTATAATTTTTTTTATTTGTTACTGTTATCACTTGCTTCCATAAACCTGGAGACCATCCACAGGAACGTGTAAGTGCTGCAACTTAACCACAGAGAGGAGAAGATATCGTAATGCCTAACACTTGCTGTATATTGTGTTCTCTTTAGTCAAATATATTAACAATTTCCTTAGAAAATAAATTTCTAATCACATTCAACATATTCAGATATTTTTATAACCAAATATGTAGCATCCAGCTCAAGGAAAGGGTCTTGTTTCAAATGAATAACTATTTGCTTCCTTGGACTTTCTCCAATTTATTTTTGTCCCTATTTTACTAAACAAGCCAAAGAATCCACCAAACATGGATGCTTATAACACACTTGAGCTCCAATTACTAAGGAAATTGAATTATCGAATATAAACAGTAATAGAAATCTGCTGTTTTAAATGAGAATAGGACCCGCTAGTGGGTTGTTCCCAGTTGCAAGAGGACTCCACTTTTTTCTCTCATTCTCTAAGTTTTTACTTCTACTGGAAAAAAAAAAAAACTTCCTTTTGTCAAGATCCTGGTTTTTTACTTGCTTTTTGTGTGTACAGATACCATGAAGTTTAGAAACAGTCATTCACGGAGTGATGTGGTTATAGTGTATTGGGAGCAGAGCAGAAGGCTGCTTGTGTTTCTGGGAGAGTTTGGTTTCTTTATGTTCTTATTGGTGGGACAGTTTGATTTTGAATTTTGCATAGTTTTCGTAGTTAAAAAGTGTTTTTTCATGGAGAGGGCAGTGTGTAATATTAATTCTGGGATTTTGACAGCACTACTGTGGCAACAGGTGAATTTTCCTAAGTGGTTGATGGGTTTGGGAATTTAAGATCATGGTTTAGAACCTACATGTTTTGCTCCTTTCTATTAATTATCCACAACAATGTCTTGGATGGAAACTCAAAGCAACTGTTTATAGTTTGAGAAACAGTTAACACCGTTCTTGCTGAAGTGCAGCATCATTGAAGCCATTAAAGAAAGGTGATTCACCACAGTAATTGACTGGTGTGATTTTTAGCAGGTACAATTTTTATTTTGTTGCAAGGCTCACAATCATAAATACAATGCATAATTATCACTTTCTCAAAGAACAAGATATAAATAATATATGTCATAGTAAAGAATATATGAATATACTTTTGTTTCAGGGAAGAAAACTGATATAGACCAAGCAGGTGTATGCCCTTTGAGGATGGGATTTTCATATTTATGCTGAATCCAGCTCTTGCTTAGAAAATAAATCTCATTGAATGGACATACAACCTTGTCACAGTTTTCTTTTTACAAAACTCTAATTTAAAGCCAGTAAATGTATTCCTTTTATTCCAGTTATCTTATGTCCCAATACTAGACGAAACATTTATAAATGGTCTGACAACGGTTATAATTTAAGAACTTTCATTTCTCAGCTATACATTATGGAATGGAATAATTTTCTTAAGATTTATGTGAATACTCCTTGATTTTTTTCAAAACTATCTTTTTAAACTATGCTTCCTTTTTAGTTTTCAGCCTGGAGTTTTGAGTTAAACTCTTTGCATAAGGGATGCTCCTAGGCTCATAAGAGTAGTCTGAGACACTAACAGTACTTCCACTCTCCTCTTAGCTAGAATTATGGTTTTTCATCTTCATTGCTTCCTCCTGCATGGCTGTTTTATTTCTGCATTTTTTTCTGACCTCTCACTAGATCCTATCTTCCAGAAGTTGTTACCAGAGCAGGAAAATGGAGTTAATGTAGAGAGTTGATCTCAAGGTTAGATGCATGCAGTTCTGGTCCCAAAGAGACAGAATGGACAATGCTCTCCTTACTGTGACGGGAGAACAGGAATATCAAGAGATGGGACATATCTGGTGGCCTAGTGGTTAAGTTTGGTGCGCTCTGCTTTGGTGGCCCAGGTTAAATTCCAGGGTGCAGACATACACCACTCATCAGTGGCCATGCTGTGGCAGTGGCTCACATACAAAAAGGAAAAAAAAGAGGAAGATTGGCAATAGATTTTAGCTCAGGGCAACTATTCGTCAGCAAAAAAAAAAAAAAGATAGAGAGATGGGACATATCTGAGAGGCAGTGGCGCTTGCACAAATGCATTGTCTGGAACAATGAAGGAATGGCAATATGACCACTGCTTCACAGCAGTACACTCACACCTTCACACACACACGTGCATGAAGGCACACACACTGACTCACACAACTATCACACACACATGTACACATTCACATGCACACTTACAAACACAGATACATGTGCACATATACACTGCTGATAAAGAAACACATTTGTGTGTTATTTTTCCTACCATACATGATTCACTTTGCTACTCTTTAAAATGTGCCCTGAAATTACATATCTATCCTCTTTTCTCTTTGAATTTGGGGAAACTGGTGTTAATAATAATGGAGAAATTTGGAACATCCCTCACGGTCACTTAGAGCTAGTTCTCTCTCTCCTTGGGCTGCCAATTTACATATGAAGAGATGCAAGGTAATCAGGCTAAAGATCAGACTCCAATAATGGCAATGGATCCTATGAGAATATGTGGGGTGCTAATTTAAGGAGAATACATTACTATAATTTCATCCCATGATTGTATCTCTGTTATATTTTTGCACTGCGTAAGAATCCTCCAAGAAAATCTCTGAGGTTTTACGGTTCCATAAAGAGGTTTTTATAGTTCCCATTTCAGTAGGGTTTGTTCCTAGAACTGTTCCCTATATAGATATCCCTCTTATGACAGTCAAGATTTTTAACCATGGGGTGAATGTCAACAAATATTTAAGCCATTCCTATACACATTTATCTATAAGAATACAGGGACACCTTAAAAAATCAATGAAATTTAAGAAATGCTCAAAGGAGAACTTCATTTTCATTAGGAAAACCCTTGCCTTGCTGACTTAAGTCATCTGTGTTAGATGTCAAGAAAATATGGAATTTAGCTAAACGTCATCACAGTAAAATTCTGAAGCCACATATAAAATCTTTAATGCAAGGTCTGTTTCCAAAAGGAGAGAATATATACACAAGAGAGAGCACACAGTGAACAGAACTTACAGACGTAGTCATGTCTATAGTTATTTAGATCTTTACAACTGATTTTCCTACTAAATTCCAGAAAGTGCTACCCTAATAACATATAGGCTTAAAGAAGAGATGGGTGTTATTTCTAAATTATCCCTTTCTTCTGCCCAGGCAAATGAAAGAAAAAGCCATTACCTCTGAAAACTAAGTTTCAGGAGAAAGAAGAGGGAATTTATATATCATCTAGAAGTTTTAAGAAAATTACCCTAAATGTGCTGCTCATGGCATTATCCCCAGCAGGTATGCTTTTCATAAACACAGTGCAAGATATGTCCAAGCAACACAAATGACATAATGTCCTCCTTCAGCCCACAATTAGGAACAATTGTACTTCCTGCTGAATGCTACTAAATAATATCTCAAGATCTACATGAGCAAAATGCCCTCCCTCCATGAATAGAAAGAATCTAGTAATAGCTATATATTCATAAAGAGATGCGGTATAGAAACTAGATTCTGCCAAGGCTACAACCTGGAAGCAAGTTAAATATTTCGTGATTCATTAACACATGAGTTATGAGCACTGTTAAAGAACTAAACGGTGCTCAGGGAGTCTGAAAGATATGGTGCCATGACTGATTCCCAGAGAAGTTTATGTTGCAGCGAAATGTTTCAGCATCAACTCTAAATAACTCAAATATTTAGTACATCCTTAGTGTGCCCTTGGGAAACTGCCTGGCTGGAAGGCAAGCTGATTCCCAATGTGTACATATACCATTATTTACAGATGAAACTATATATACTTTAGGTGGTATCTAAACTACCTTATGTTTCTTAACATCAAGACACACTTTATCATGAGATTATTTATCTGAATAGCATGGTAAAAAAACAAAATATAGTTTTCAAGAAACTAAACTATGTTGGAAACCACCTTTTGCAAGTTTAAGTAACCTCATAAATATCAAGATAATTTCTACTATAAACATCACACATCCCAGGCGTGGGTCCATGTCATACTTAAGCTGGAATCCTCACCACATAGCCACATGAAAAGTGTGTCCAAATACTATAAAGTGAGCTGGGCATGGGCCCTGGAAATGGTACTTGTTCTTACTGAGGTTGTTGCTGTCGATGTCAAGCATCTGAATTGGATGCCCACTAAGCTCTGAAACCTATGTTTTGTTTTTTCTTTTCCTGTTTTCTAAACAGAGTTTTTCAAAGCACATTGCATACGAAGGCCACAGCAGATGGCTCCTGAACTAAACCTGGGTAACCAGAAGAAAAAGGCTTGTTTCTTTGACCATCAAAGGAACTGGGAGTCAACTTTGCTTCCCTGCCCTAGAGAGGGGTTGTATTTGCTTGCTCAGGTCTTTTGTATTCCATCCCTACAACCTTGATGCTTCCACTGACCTGGGTCACTAATGCAACCTGTATCTTATGACGTCAAACCATGAGATTTCTAAAAGTTTGTTAAAAATTTTCCCTTTCCATCTCAGACTGCAGTAGTAATCTGAGTTAAACCTAGATCATTGAACTCTTCTCTTCCTAGAGAACTATGAGACATCTCCATGACTAGTCATACTGGTTTATTTATCCCATCAACATCCTTCATGTAAGCAGGATCCTGAAGTGTATTTCTGACTCTACTAGTGCTCTGTCGCTCCATCCTCATCTTAATGGGAAAGCAGAAGTCCCTGAAACACCGCTTGAAGTTTTCATCAAGAAAGGCATAAAGAATGGGGTTCAGGCTGCTGTTGGTGTAACCTAAGGCGATGCAGAAGTAATAGCTGGAGAGGGCAGCCGTGCTGTGGGAGGTACTCCCCAGAGCCTCCACAAGAATAAAAATGTGAATGGGAGTCCAACAGATGATGAAGACTGCCACCACCACAAGGACAAGCCTGGTGATCCGACGGAGGTTGCGATCTTTCTCTCGGGAGCCAGAAAGGAGTCGGACGCTCTTTAAGCGCAGGATCATCAGGGTGTAGCAGATAATGATGATGAGGACAGGAATCACGAAGGCAAAGACGAAGACGCAGATCTTCATGAAGAGGTCCCACCAGGAGTAATCATCATCCGGGAACTGCAAGGAGCACTCGATGACATCCACGTCTGGAAAAGGTGAACAAAACAAAACCAGAAGAAGAAAATCTACTCATATTACTGTGGCTGCAAAGAGTTTTAAATGTAAATTTTAACACCTTTGCTTGCGAAGGTCCAATTACAGTATAAGATGATATTACCTAAAGCAGATCACCAAATCAGGAATGAATGCCATATTTATTAACCATCTTATTTTTGTGCATAAAACAATGAAGGGAGAGAGTCACCATTTATTGGTAACATACACGAGGCTATAGAATGAGTAAGATTAGCTAGCAACATGAATTATCTAGTTGTGGAAACTCATTTGAAATTGATGAAGATGAAGTTGATGGAGCTTTCAGAAGAGCTAAATTGTTAATTTACAGCATGGGCACTTATTTGCATTTCCATTTATTAACAGTTCTCCCAGACCTAATAAAAGATTGTATCTATTTGTAATAAATGACTAAGTATTTTAGATCTAGTCATTCAATTTGACAAAAGCCAACTTGTCTGAAAAACATTAACTGGCTTACAAGAAATCATTATGTAGGTCAATAAAAATTTATATAAAATTTGTCTAAATATGACCTAGGTATTGTGATCGAATGGAGCCAATGGTGAACATTATGATTAAGGGCATTGCTGAAACATGAGTAAAACTTTTGGAGAAGAGGGAGAAGGAAGAGGAGGAGAAGAAAGAAAATAGAAGGAGGAGGAGGAAGAAGAGAATCATCATCATCATCAAGGAAATCTAAAAAAATCAGGCACATTTTAAATTTTTTGCCAACATTGATTACGTAATTCAGATAAAACAAATATTTTTATATGATTACATAGAAAACTGCTTATTTGCTCTGCTTCTCTTTGCTGGATAGTAACTCTTTGTAGTGACCATAATATTAGAAAGAGCAGAGGCAAGAAAGAGGAAAGACCCAGGATAAATACCTTTTATAATACATTCACTGGGGGCCTGCTTACCCCTCCATGGATCCCCTTTTCCCCAAGCATCAACTTTTTCTCCTTGCCTCTGATCAGTCATTGAGCACAGAGTAGGCAAAACTCTCTTTGTCCTGATCCTTCCTTACACAAAAAGTAATCATGAACAATACTATGAATGTAATTTTTATAATAAAAATATTTTCTTCTGATATTGGAAAAATCTGCTTCAAAAATAGCATAGGAATATTTTTTAAAATAATGAAACTGCTCTCATATGGGGCAACAAAAGACCTCGAATTGCTAAAGCAATCCTGAGAAAAAAGAACAAAGCTGGAGGCATCACAATCCCTGACTTCAAAACATACTACAAAGCTACAGTAATCAAAACAGCATGGAACTGGTACAAAAACAGATGCACAGATCAATGGAACAGAAATGAAAGCCCAGAAATAAAACCACACATCTATGGACAGCTTACCTTCGACAAAGGAGCTGAGTGCATACAATGGAGAAAAGAAAGTCTTTTCAACAATTGGTGCTGGGAAAACTGGACAGCCACATGTAAAAGAATGAAAATTGAACATTCTTTTTCACAATTCACAAAAATAAAGTCAAAATGGATCAAAGACCTAAAGGTAAGACCTGAAACCATGAGGCTTCTAGAAGAAAATGTAGGCAGTACACTCTTTGACATCAGTATTAGAAGGATCTTTTCAGACACCATGTCTTCTCGGACAAGGGAAACAATAGAAAGAATAAACAAATGGAACTTCATCAGACTAAAGAGCTTCTTCAAGGAAAGGGCAAATAGGATTGAAACAAAAGAACAACTCACCAACTGGGAAAAAATATTTGCAAATCATATATCTGACAAAGGGTTAACCTCCATACTATATAAAGAACTCACACAGCTCAACAACAAAAAATCAAACAACCTGATCAAAAAATAGGCAGGAAACATGAACAGACATTTCTCCAAAGAAGATATAAGGATGGCCAATAGACACATGAAAAGATGCTCATCATCACTGATCATCAGGGAAATGCAAATCAAAACTACACTAAGATATCACCTTACACCTGTTAGAATGGCAAAAATAACCAAAACAAAAAGTAACAAATGTTGGAGAGGTTGTAGAGAAAAAGGAACCCTCATAAACTGCTGGTGGGAATGCAAACTGGTGCAGTCACTACGGAAAACAGTATGGAAATTTCTCAAAAAACTAGAAATAGAAATACCATATGACCCAGCTGTCCCACTACTGGGTATCTATGCAAAGAACTTGAAATCAGCAATTCCAAAAGTCCCACGCACCCGTATGTTCATTGCAGCATTGTTTACAATAGCCAAGACGTGGAAGCAACCTAAGTGCCCATCAACTGATGATTGGATAAAGAAGATATGGTATATTCACAATGGAATACTACTCAGCCTTAAAAAGGGATAAAATCATCCCATTCACAACAACGTGGATGGACCTTGAGGGTATTATGTTAAGTGAAATAAGCCAGATAGAGAAAGACAATCTCTGTATGACTCCACTCATATGTAGAGGTTAAACATGTAGACAAAGACAACTGATTAGTGGTTACCAGGGGAAAGGGGGTTGGAGGTCGGCACAAAGTGGGAGGTGGTGCACCTACAACACAACTGACAAACAATAATGTATAACTGAAATTTCACAAGTTGGTAAACTATCATAATCTCAATAAAAAGTTAAAAAATGAAACTTCTCTATTAATAATGTTTTCTAAAACATTTTAAATGTGGTCTTAATCAAACACCCTTTAGTAAAACAAAATGTTATCTTCTTAGAATTTCAATTAGACATACTTTAAAATATAAAACTATAATCATTTTGGTCAATTAATAAATGTGACTATCTTAGAGACATACCTTTTATCAATTAAATACCAGATCAAACCTCTGAGTAGTGAATGAAAGCTCCCAAAGTAACTTGTTTTTTGATTCTCTAAAAAAATCATTGTCCAAAGTACTATTACTATGAAGACTATTAGAAATGAATGAGCATCTCTTTTAATTTTTGCTTTAGTGTTTATGGAAATGATAACAGTTAAAACCAGTTTTTAAAATCATCACTATTATCATCAAAAAACATTTTTTTGATATTGATAAAACAACTTTTGATGGCTGGTAGATTGCAAAAGTTTGATTTTAAAAAATATCCTATTCTAGGTTTGATTTGTCTGTTGACTCTAGCTTCCTTGAACGTAGGGAAAGGTTTTTTTTTTCTGTTTAACAATTGTGTATTCTGATATTGTCTCTTTCTTGTGGTTGACCTCAGGTTAAATGCCACTTCAGAAACATTTATATAGAGACTGTTATATATGAATAGTCTTCTCCCCTGCAACTTATATTCTCTTTATATATCATATTCACCCTATTTATTTCCTAGACAGAAACTCTTCTGTAACAATGTGTTACCTTTCCTAACATTTTTCTCTCCATCTAGAGTATAAACTACACTAGGCTAGGTACCCAGCCTGCCTTATTCAATATTTAATCCTTGCCACGTAGAGTGGCAGGAACATACGGTGCTTAAGAAGAATTAAGAAGAATAAGATGTTAAATAAATGAACACAAGACTACCACATGGAAGTCCTTGACAATATAGACTGATTACAGTGGTTATTATGGAAGATTAACCTGCTAAGATAAGCAAGGCAACACAAGGGCTGATGTTTAATTTGGATACATCTTTTAACTCTGAGAATAAGCTTCCTCTTGAACAAATTGTCTTGCATGTAGTAGGAGCTCAACAAATATTTGATGAGTGGGTAAAATAATCACCTACAGATACTTTTACAAGACTTTGGAAAGCATCCAACTATAGCATTGGAAATGTCCTCCAGTAATGTCAATGAAGTTGAATTTATACCATCAAAGAGAAAGGGAGAGTACTGAAGCAATTATCGAAGAAATTCAAGTCTGAGCAGACCATTTTTATTAAGTGTTCTCTTTCAGGAAAATGAGTCCATCTTTAGCTTTAAGGACACAGAGAGGTTGAAAGCAAAAGAATAGAAAAAGAGGGTCCATACAAATGGTAAACAAAAGAAAATGAGGGTAGCTAAATTTCTAACAGACAAAATAGACTTTAAGTTAAAAATTGTCACAAGAGGCAAAGAATGTCATTATATAATTATAGAAGGGTCAATTCATCAAGAGGAGATAGTTGTAAACATATATACACCCAACATTGGAGCACCTAAACATATACAGCAAATATTAACAGAATTGAAGTAAGACATAGACAGTAATACAATAATAGTAAGGAATTCAATAGCCCACTTTCAACAATAGATATATTATCCAGTTAGTAAATCTATAAAGCAATAGCAGACTTGAACAATACTATAAGTAAAATGGACCTAACAAGCATATACAAAACATTCCATCCAAGAGCAGGAGTATGCACATTCTTCTCAAGCACACACAGGTCATTCTCCAAGATAGATCAAATGAAGGCCACAAAACAAGCCTTAACAAATTTAAGAAGACTGAAATCACATCAAGTATCTTTTCTAACCACATGAAAATAGAAATCAATAACAGTAGGAAAATTAGAAAATTTACAAATATGTAGAAATTAAACAACACACTCCTGAACAACCAATGGGTCAAAGAAGTAATCAAAAGGGAAATCAAAAAATCTCTTCAGGTAAACGAAAATAGAAACACATATACCAAAGCTGATGGAATGCATGAAAAGCAGTTCTAAGAGGTATGTTTATAGCAATAAATACCTACATTAAGAAAAAAGAAAGACTTCAAATAAACAACCTAACTTTAAACCTCAAGGAACTAGAAAAAGAAGAACAAACTAAGCTCAAAGTTAGCAGATGGAAGAAAATAATAAAGATTAGGACAAAAATAAATGAAATATAAACTAGAAAAAAAAACAATTAACAAAGACTTGGTTTTTTGAAAACATAAAAAATAGACTAACTCTTAGTTAGACTACCTAAGGAAAAAAATACTCAAATAAATAAAATTATAAATGAAAGAAGAGACATTACAACTGATAACAGAAATACAAAGGATCATAAGAGACTCCTATGAAAAA